TGAGACATTCTCGCAAAAAAATCACGGTTTTAGTAACGCAGTAACGCAGCGTTCCTACGGGAAGTAACGGTAATCTAATTACTGTTTTGGCAATAGTAATCCCTTACTTTACTTGTTACCTGAAAAAAGTAATCAGATTAACGCGTTACAAGTAACGCGTTACTGCCCATCTCTGCTCATCTCTGCTCACGACCACAGTGAGCTTCTCCAAGATGTGATCCAATTTACACTCAGAGGTCTTATTCTGAGTGTTCACGGCAGCCGCAAGCTTCTCCAAGATCTTATCTGTGCTGCAGTCAGTGAGCCCACGTAACTATCACGTAACTATCACGTAACTATCACGTAACTATCACGTAACTATCACGTAACTTTGCCGACAGTCAGCCAAATTTAACGTTTTCATGAACTTTTTTCTTTTTTTCCCTTCTGTGGTGTTTTGTGTGCTTTTGCTGCGTTTTTCTGTTTGCTGGTGTTTTCTTAAGTTGCAGTCCGTTTGACCCCTCAGGGCCACCATATGTTTCTGTCTCCCTGCAGCTGTGATGGAAACACCAAGTGTGACATAAAGTCAAACATTACTTATGATCCTGGAGTCTGCAAATACCTGGAGACCACCTACGCCTGCTTCACACGTAACGACTCTGTTAAACCTGTGATTAGAAATGACTGATGAACCCAATCTGTACATGAATGATTACAGTTTCTATGGGATCTGTGTCTGTTTCAGGCCACAGTGTAACATGTGGAGGATCTCAGTCAAACCTTCAGTGTGGTGATAACACAGCTTCTATGTCTTTGTATGTTTGAGCATTCATGTAAAAAAAATATCACCATGGTTACAGTTTGACTCTATGAACTTTTCCTCAGGTGAAAGACAGGTTATAGTCGTCTCCTGGGCGAATTATGGTCGCCGTGACAAAACCACGTGCCCTGATGGACGTTCTGATTCTGAGCTCCAAAATGTTAAATGCTCCTGGTCCGCAAGCATGGAATATTTTACTAAAATGTACGTAGGCTGACTCTCTTCCTTCAGCCCTCCATCTTCTCTCAGCTTCTGCTGACTCACCTTTTACCTGCATTCACAGGTGTAACTGGCAGAACAGCTGTACTGTTGAAGCACCAAGCTCAGTAGACCCATGTCATGGCACCTACGAGTACCTGGAGGTGTTTTTCACTTGTCAGGGTAAGTTACTCAAACAATAAACCTATAAAAATAATCTTTTAGGGTCTGTACATTCATATTTGTTTGAATGAAAATTATAATTGTTCCTCATTTTTGAAAGATTAACCTTTATGTGCTGAAAACACTGAAATCACGCCAAAACATTGTCAGTTTTTTGCAGACCCTAAAAGATTGAAATCATTTTATATATTTATGAAAATTATCTCAAGAATATGTCAGCAACATCCCTTAGTTATGCTGGCAGCATCCAAGATGGCACCAGTGTGCACGGCGAGACGTCTCTTTGGGTTGTGTCTGCTGGTTGTTACCTTTCTTTTTCTATGTTGCCCTGATGGTTCTGCTTTACTTGTCTATGATCGCCAAACTCTTCTGAACCGTCGGCCACTAAAACACTGAATGCTTGATTTGGAAAGTGAGCCAGAAAGTCTTCCTCCACTTTTGACGGACATACCTGTATGCCTACATCACTCACCATTTGCCCTGCCTCGCAGGAAGTGCTCTAGAAGACAGGGAAAGCGAGGTGGCATCCTTTTACGCTTCAAGGCTTACCTGAAATCACATGGAGTAAAGAAACCTCGTACTCTTACAGGTGTGCTACCATCTTTTCAAGCCCTCTGGGACCAGTCCAGTTACAGATTCAGCTGCCATCGCTGGATCCGGCCTGTTGGACTTCCTGCTCCCTCTGACCTGCCAGCGAAGCCTTTACCTGTCTGGCGATGGGTGTGGACCTACAGAGGTGGCATGAATCTCAGTAACCTTCGTCCGCTGGGAAGTGCTCCTGTTAGCAACGATCACTCTTCGGATGGGCACCAGGTCACTGTGGACTTTCATCCTAAATCCCTCGATTGTTCACATTTCAGCTCTCCTCGGGCCAATGTTGCTCCACTAAGGACTAAACGCACCAAATCTACACGTCAACCTTGGCTTAATGATGCCACCTGTGCTCTCAGATGCGAATGTCGAGGTGCAGAGAGAAACTGGATAAAAAACAAGCTCCAGGTGTCTTTGCGCATCCTGCGTGACTGCTTAACAAACTAGAAAATGCATTTTCTAAAGAAACTGCAATGTGAATGCTGATAGCTGAATGTTTTGAGCTGAAATGACATAATTGTTGAATGTTAAGTTAAAAATGTTGAATGAGCTGAAATAGGCTGAAGGCTAAAGTGTAAAACTGTTTAAATCTAAAGTTCACACAGAAAAAGTTTCAAAGTTGGAAAGTAGCTGAACATCCTTAAAATGTACAAAAGCTGAGTAATGACTAAAGAAAATTTAGAATCACAAAACATCTGAATGAATATTAAAAGTTTATATTCTTTTAATCATCAAAATCGCTGAAATGTGGGAGAATCCACAACAGAAAGGTAAATGCTTTAAGTTTTAATCATCCAGTCAAAAAAGATGATTCTAAAAGTCATCAACTAACTCCAAACGCCCAGATCTGAACCACCTGTCTGCTGAAGAGAAATCCACCAATCGAACGGAAGCCTGAATTTCATGGGCCAATCAAAACGCTTTTAAATCTGCCTTGATGCACGTGTTAAAAAACTGCTTCTAAATCCAAGACCCTAACTCCTATCAAAATCATGTTCAAACCTTGAGGATCCGAAGGACTTGTTCTACACAACAGTGTGTCCTTTATGTTCTAGACTGTCCCATTTCACAGCCATTTACTTCCGGCCTACCCGACCTTCTGAAGACCCGGCCCACGTAGACCGCTAAGGCTGGGTCCTCAGGAGGATGCAGCCCATGAATTTGGACACGACCACGGACATTTGTATCACAGACATTAAGGACACTGGGATTTCAGATCACTTCCCGGTTTTGTTTAATACTGTAGTGAGCAATGTGGAATTGAACAGTGATGGTCCTGTGCGGCAAACATGCACGATTAACTCCCAGTCAATCGCTCACTTCACTGATGCTTTCCTTGACTCTCCCCTCTCTGATGCTAACTGTAATGGGGTTTTATCAGCGGATGAGCTTGCTAAACTATTTTATACTACATTTGCTGACATTCTTAACTCTGTTGCACCTCTGAGGATTAAACGTGCCAAATCCTCACGCCAACCCTGGCTAAATGATGCTACTCGTGCCCTTAGGCGTGAATGTTGTTGCGCTGAGAGAAAATGGAGGAAAGACAAACTCCACGTCTCTCTGGACATCCTCCATAATTCTTTATCTAAGTATCAAAAGTCTGTTAAAGTATTCTTAAAGTATTTCTCTGAAAAAATCTCAGCTCTAAGGGCTTCTCATCCATCTCATTCATCGTCAGTTTTAGACCCAGTTCCAGCCTCTGAATGCTTGACTGTCTTTCAACAGTTTGAGCCAGTGTCTTATTCTGCTTTAAAAGATATAATTGATCGTCTCAAAATCTCTGGTTCCCCGCACGATATTCTTCCTTCTCGTTTCTTTAAGAAAGCTTTACATGTCATTGGTCCTTGTATCTTACTTCTGCTGAATGCATCATTGTCATCAGGTTGTGTACCGTCTGTCTTTAAGCTTGCTGTTGTGCAACCTACTATGAAAAAGTGTCTGTGAAGGTTCTCAGTCATCCAGGTCATCGTAGTCAAAGGAGTTTGCAAAGAAAAGCGTCTGGACTTCTTTAAGTTGCTTGAAGACGTTTCACCTCTCATCCGAGAAGCTTCTTCAGTTCTAAGGTCAAATGGTGGAGAGTC